GCTACCTTCTGCCAGATCCTGAGTTGTAAATGTTCAGGAAGCACAGGCTGACCTTGCCAAGGCCTGGGTGCTTTCTGTCCTCTGGGTGCTGACTCAGCACTTACAGAGCTCCCTGCCCCCAACCCCCTGGCTGCCCCCATCTCAGTGCTTAGGAAATTTGTCTTTGACTATGTAAGATTTATATGGCATGATTTCCCAGGAAATCCCACCTCTCTATTCCCCAAACTATTCTCTCATGCCTGACACTGCTTTAATCACCAACACTTGCATTTGCCCTTTAGAGCCAAAGTTTTTAAAAACCTCTAGGAATAGGTCAATTTTTTTAAATGTAAACTTTTTATTGAAGTATAACATTCATACATAAAAGTACACAAACCAGGGGCACCTGGGTGGCTCAGTCGGTTAAGTGTCCAACTTTTGATTTCGGCTCAGGTCATGATCTCAGGATCGTGAGATCGAGTCCTGCATCAGGCTCCATGGGGAGTCTGCTTGAGATTCTCTGTCTCCCTCTCCTTCTGCCCCTCCCCCCGTGCTCTCTTTCTCTAAAATAAATAAAGCCTTAAAAAAACAAAGTACACAAACCATAATGAACCACTAATGTAATGAATGCAAGGATCAAGAAACAGAATATTGCCATCTCCCCCAGAAGCCCTCCCCACCACTGCCTTGTGTTCCCTTCCAGTCACCTCCTCTTCGCCCACCAGGGAAACCATTATCCTGACTCATAAGAGATTACTTTTGCTTTTGTTCTTTATATAGATGGAATTGTATTACATGTATTCTTTTGCATATACAATGTTTCTTTTCCTCAGTATTATATTTATGAGATTCATCTATGTTGTTGCATATAGTTGTGGTTTATTTGCTTTTATTGGTGTATGGTCTCCCATTGTGTGAATAAGCTACAATTTACTTAACTGATGGGCACTTGGGTTGCTTCCAGTTTTTTACTTATAAATAGTGCTATTATTTGTAAATAGTGTTTCCTAGTTCAGGTCTTTCAATGAACATATGCACACTTTTCTGTTGAAAATACACTGAGGAATGGAATATATGCAACACAGGATATATTCATCAGTACTAGATCCATTCTTTCCATTTAGCCATTCTGGAGGGTGTGTAATGGTATACATTGTGTTCTTCATTCCCATTTCTCTGATAACTAGTAAAGATGAGCACTTTGTTTTCTGTGCATTGGCCACTTGGATATCTTTTTTTGTGAGTTGTTTGTTTGAGACTTTGACTAAATTTTCTACTAGGTTTCCACCTTTTACTTAATGGTTTTTAAAGTTTTTTGTATAATCCAATAATTTGTTAAATATGCATACTGCAATATTTTTTCCCACTTTGTGAATTAACTTTTCATTGTTTAATAGTCTTCAAAATAAACAGAAGTCTTTATTTTTTTTTCCTTTATGGTGAGCCCTTTGTGTATCCTGTCTAGGAAAATTTTTTATGCCCTAAGGAAGATATCATGAAATATCATGAAGATGTTTTCCTGTTTTCTTTGAAACTGACTTTTATGTAAAGGGTAAAGTAGGAATCAGTATTTTTTTTGCCATATTATTCAATTGACCCAGAACTACTTATTGAAAAGTCCACACTTGGGAGCCTGGGTGGCTCAGTTGGTTAAGCGACTGCTTTCGGCCCAGCTCGTGACCCTGGAGTTCCGGGATCGAGTCCCGCATCGGGCTCCCTGCTCGGCGGGGAGTCTGCTTCTCCCTCTGACCCTCTTCCCTCTCGTGCTCTCTATCTCTCATTCTCTTTCTCTCAAATAAATAAATAAAACCTTTAAATAAAAAAAAAAAAAGAAACGTCCACACTTAAAACTATGCCTTTAATTATGGGATTATATATGTGTGGATCTGTTTCTGGGCTATATTCAAGAAGCAGTTAATTGTTAAACTTATTCTCAAGAAAGAATGCCTGTAATCTGCTTCTTTCCTCAAGTAGCATTCATTACATACTCATTATGAACTAGGCATCATGCTAAGAATTTTTCTGCATCATTTCATTTTAAACCTCATTAACCCTCTGTAAGATAGCTACTAGTGTAATCTCCATTTTGTAGATGAAGAAATTAAGACTCAGAGAATTAAATAATTTGCTCAAGATCTCCCAGCTAGTAAGTGGAAGAAAGTCTGGCCGACTTTAAAATGTGGTTCTTTACTATACTGTCTCCCAGAGCAGCTTTTTGAGTGGGCAATAAGAGTATGTATGTTGACAGTGAAAGGTAATGCAGAGGAGTGAGACCAACTTCCCTCACCTCCACCTATCATAGTATTTTGTTGCTTTATTTGAGTTATATGGCATGTGGCAGTGGTATACATTTAAATTTTCATATTCATTGAAATAACACATTTTATAAATTAGGAACCATAGGTTTATGCTATTTACTAGGTACTTGGCATATGATACAATATATTGTTCCTTTTTTTAAAGATTTTATTTTTAAAGTAATCTCTATACCCAATGTGGGGCTCAAACTCACAATCCCAAAATCAAGAGTCACATGCTCTACTGACTGAGCCAGCCAGGCGCCCCCATAGAATATATTGCTGTTATTATACTATTCATTTTTTCTTTGTCAACCTTTTACATATTTGTAACCCTGATGAACAGAAGGGTGCTCTGCCCAGAGCAAGGACTTAATAAATACTTGTGTTTTTATAGTTGTTGAGCTCTGATTGCTAACTTGAGGTTTTCTGTTTAGGTAGGTTTTCTATCCTGTACAAATTGTTTTTAGTTCAGATCATGTGATCTATCCCTAACATATATTTCCTATTTTTTCCTCTTTCTTTTTCTTTTCTTTTTTTAAATATTTTTTCTCTTTCAATAACTGCTGCCTCAAAGGGAAAAAATGCAGATCTTTGGCTGCGTGGTCTGGCAGCAACAGATCTGAAATTCTTAAAACGTTAGAACCAGGAACTACTTTCCACACAATCAATGGGTTAAAAAGAGAGGGAGAAATTGACAGAGACACAGAGACAGAGAGAAAATGGAGTCTCATAGAGAGACAAGCACTCCTAGTTCTAGACCTTTACCAGGTCTGTGGCTTTAAGTTCTGTGCTTTAATTTCTCATGTGCAATTGGGGCTGATAACAGGATTTGTTTTAAGAGTAAAATGAAGCAGTGGACAAAAACATACCAAGAATGGTAGAAAAATGCTATTAAATGTCAAATACTGGTAGAAAGTAAATTGAATACAATGTACAAATATGCTTGGTTTTAGTAATAATAAAAGAACTAAATATTGATTTTAGATATTTACTAAAAAAGGAACTGCTTGACAAAGTAATTCAGTATAGTATAATATTAAACTGTGGTGTATTATTACTTTACATCTTTTGAGTTAATGTTTTTATTGAAGTATAATCTGGGGCGCCTGGGTGGCTCGGTCAGTCTAGCATTGGTTTCGATTTCAACTCAGGTCATGATCTCAGGGTCCTGAGATCAAACCCTGGCTCTGTGCCCTGTATGGAACCTCCCTAAGACTCTTTCCTTCCTCCTCCGCCCCTCCCCCTCAAAAAAAAGTATAATCTGATTGTATTTTGAAATGATCGAATTTACATTACTTTAACTTACATATTTTTAAGATCACATTCACTGCATTGAGTAAAACAGGATTTATCTATAATTTACTGTCAGGGATAGAAGGGGGTCTTGAATATCGTTATCTTCTGTTTGGTGCAAAAGATGTAAAATGATATGCATGTTAAGTGCCAAGGTTTTCTCTAAAATGGGCCCACTGTAAAAGTCAGTGGCGTGCCAGTTCAATTCACCAAATACTTAATTAGCGCTTTTGATTTCCAAGGAACTGTGCTGGGTACTAAGGAGGCAGCAAGGATGGATAGCATCAGATGAAGGCAGACAACACCTGAACCCAGTAACTAGTCCGCAAAGCAGTTTGGGGCATCATAACATAGAAGAGGTAAAACACAGGGAGAACCTGGTGGAGCTCAAATAATTTAAAATTTCCTGCTTACGTTTTTTTTTTCTTTTTCTTCTTTTTTTAAAAAGGAAATCTTTTGGATTCCTTTTCACATGTGCCAGGTTGTTGTCTGCAGGGAAGCTGCGACCCTGTTAAATCTCCCCTATTCCCTGTTCTTCCTTTCCTCCCATATTCCATGAGCTCCTCTGCCACCAGCACTGCATTTGGAATGGCATCTATTGTGTGGGTGGTGAAACGATGGAAAGTTATTTTTGTTCTAATTATGAGAGCTGTTTTATGGAGGGGGGAGGAGAGGCAGATCACAGACAGACGCTCAACGAGGATGCTCCGAGGAGGCGTTACTAAGGTTACTAGAAAGAGGACGGCAGGTGATATTTAGGCAGGGCTTTTTCTAAAACAAAACATTTTCAAACGATGGGCGTGGGCGTAGTGTGAGCAGTGCCACACGACATTAGATGACGGGCTCCGAGCGGAAGGAAAAAATTGAGGGCTGCGACTTGAGAAAGCAAGAAGCCTCTGCCTCCCCTCCCGGCCCTGTTTTCCGCTGCCTTTGTTTTCCGGGGCTGTTCTGGCTGTAGCACAAGGTCGCTACGCCTGAGGACGGTGTCATTTAAATGTGACACGCGGCTGCGCCGGACCGGAAGCGAGGCCCAGTCGGGACCCGTAGGAAGAGGCGGGGAGCGGGCGGCGGCGGTTGTCGCCGTGACGAGGCTGAGCTGCCGGCGGGAACGGGACGGGCCCTACAGCGGCTTGCTCAGGCCGTGGGTCGTCGCTGCAGCCAACGGGAAAAAGGGAAAGGACTCTGCGGGCGTACTTGGCAGAGCAGGGAGGAGGAAAGGGGTGTGTCATAAGGGCCTTGAGTGTATTTGGGGTTGGGGAGAACGACTTCCAAACTTGTTCTTCATATGCTACTAGTTGATTACCTTTTTGTTGTTGTTGTTGTTTGGTAGGTTCTAGAGACACCCGGCGTCTCTCTTCTCGAATTTCTGTCGGCCCTTGTCTGTTGATTCGTAGCTCGAAGTGAGTGAGAGCTTTTTAGTGCAACCACTGATTTGAGATGGGTATGGGATGGATGAAGACGCCAGAGAAAGGGCGAGGGGGAGCAAGGATAGGAGGTGGTGTCGCGGTTTGTGGGAACAAGATGACGTTAATAATAGTCAACATTTACAGGATTTTACCATACTGGACTCCATTCTAAAACTCTTTATATGCTGTAACTCATTTAACATCCAGTCCTATGAGACTGGTACTCTTACAGCCTCATTTTATAGAAGGGGAAACAGGCTCAGAGAAGTTAAGGAAAGTGCACAACGACAGACATGAAAATTTCAGAGCCAGGACTGGCACTCTGGTAGGCTGATGCCAGAATATATCTCTAAGCTCCACACAGTGGTTGACCCCCATCAGAATGTAAAGAAAATGACATAAAGGGTGAGAAGCTGGTATGATTTGAACAGATGTCATAAGACAGCTGGAGCAAGGAGTTGACATGATAAAGGGTGTGAGATCTGCAGGTGATGACAGAGGTAAGGGAGGATAGAGTTGGAACTGTAGCCTTCTAACCTTTACCTCCAACCTAGGCTGGGACCTTCCTCTCTAGAATTCTGTGGGACAGGGAAGAGAGGTGTACACCCACACACTTAAGTTTGAAAAAGATCACAGACTTTATTTATTCAGGGTAGCCAGAACTAGAAATGTACCTTGTCTTAGGTCCAATGCAACAAAGTTTAGGGAGTTATTTCTTCTTTTTCCTGCTGCACTTGTAATAGTAAATCTAGTTTAAAAATTTTGATATGTCATTTGACCAGGACTAGTTCCTTGTAGCCATATGAATTGAGTATGACCTCAAAAGTCAGATCATCCATTGATTCCCCATTAATGTGTGTCCCAAATTCAGTATAATGCTGTAACCAGAGGCTTCCAACACAACTGAGTGACAACTGAGATCTTTCAGTATTTCTAAGAATTTCAGTTAAAAAAATGAATTGGAACAAGATAAAGTTAACTAGGTCAAAGGGCAAGATTGTTTACCTTGAAGAAAGAAGGTTTAAAAGAAAAAGGAAATCTCAGGGCACCTGGGTGGCTCAGTCGTTTTAAGTGTCTGCCTTTGGCTCAGATCATGATCGCAGGGTCCTGGGATTAAGCCCCACATCAGGTTCTCTGCTCAGCGGGAAGCCTGCTTCTCCCTCTCCCACTCCCCCTGCTTATGTTCCCTCTTTTGCCGTCTCTCTCTCTCTCTCTCAAATAAATAAATAAAATCTTAAAAAAAGACAGAAAGAAAAAGGAAATCTCAACATATGTTAAAGATAGGAAAGTTTTATTGAACTGATAGTGTACTGTTCAGAAATACAGTAAGTCTAATGGAATATAATAATGTTAGCATATTCCAGAGGCAATTTGGAGTAGTTGAAATCATGAGCTTAAGAATCAAGTAGTTAGTTTAGCTGCCTATTTGCTCTATAATTGATTTACTTAACTTTGTTTGTCCTTGATTTCTTCATCTGTAAAATGGAAATAATAGTTCCTAACTTGCAGAATTAGAAGCGGTGTTTGTTAAGGACCTACCATACCGTCTGGAACAAAGTTGATGATAAATACACAGCAACTGCTAGTAATCTGAGTCAAAAGTGAAGCATCACTGAACCTTGTGTGCAGTCACACGGCAGCTTCTAGATCTTGTTTTTAGTGAGAAGGTCAAAGGGTATCCCCCTAGTAATTAAGGTGGAAAGTGTTGATTCATTTTCTGAAGGGTAAGTCTGTTATTTCAAAGTGAATGAAAGTTTTAGGTGGCTGGATAGCCATGAACAGTGATATACCCACCATGATCCTTTACAATTATTATGGCTTTTAAAGATAATTTATTTTTGAACTATTCTGTTTCCTGAACTATGAGCAACTTAAGTTCTAAGTAACCAACTTTATATTCTTTTACAGATGCATGGTCATGGAGGCTATGACTCTGATTTTAGTGATGATGAACACGGTGGAGAATCTAACAAAAGGAAAAAAAGGTAAGTAATTTTTTATTGATTTGTGTTTCAGATCCTTTCTAGATTGCGATGAGGTATAAATAAATAATATTGAAAGTTTTCGGATTGTGTTTGCATATGAAGACAATGATGCTCTATTGAATGAATTTTCGTTTATTAAGCTAGAATGAATTGACTCGAGAATTTGAGAATAGTTACGTGAAAAATAATGTTTTTGCTGTGAAGGGATTTATGGAAAGGGAAGCGGGGGGAGAAAGAAATCAATTAAAACTCTTGGATTTCTCTGATGCATCTATTTTTCATTCAGCTGTTAAGGACTTGCGAACATCATAGCTAAGAGAAGGGGCTTGGTTGGTGGTCCTTTTACAAGTACGTGGCTTCAAAATGAGGTTAACATGGAGGGTAAGATTGTGATACAGTGCAGTTTTATGGTTTTGTGAATGAGCAGACTAAGTGCTCAAAGGAAGGAGCTCATGGAAGTTTTTATTGAATTGGAAGCGACAAGAACTGTCAGCAAATAAAGCCTGGGCCTTATAAGAAGGTCACATCTTGGTGATGTTGCTGTGTGAAGGGGCATTGTTTTCAGCTTTTAGTGCTTAGAAACTGATTTTATCTGTTAACTTAGGAGTGGTTGACTGATTCATATTAACCAAACTTATAAAAATTGCTTTATTATTTCACACAGAGAGCAATATATTAGGCATACTAAATGGGACTGAACATTTTTATTGGGTACTTAGTCTTCATGGATAACCAAAAGAATAGAAATAATTATAATAAATTATATTGTTTGGTTCTTCACATTTTCAAGATTTTTCATTCAAAAATACTACTTTATAAGAATAGAATTTGAGCAAATCTAGATGAATAGTTTCTACTCGAGGGTTATATCTATCTTCCTAACTAGGGCTGATCATCTATAGTCTGTATCACTTATAGTCAGCCCTTATTTTTTATATTATTGATTACCAAAACCTTCAATAGCTTTACAAACAGGAAAAGTGTGGAACGGAGAGATTAGGTAAGTTAATCTCACTTAAGGTTAAGATAGTGAATGACAGAGCCCAAGTTTGGATCTCAGAACCTGGGTGGTCTGACACTAGAACGCATTCATTTGTTAGTTTCATTTTCTCCATTTTATAAGTATTAAATAAAGTTAAGATATTAATTAAACTATTTAAGGAGACATAAAATGTCTCATTAAAGATCAGTGAGTCTTTTTTAACACTTGAATTTTTAAAAAACATGTTCCAGTTACGAAAATATGAAGAAATAAGAAACATCCTTTGAGAAAAATGAACTCTTTAGTAATTTTTCTTCTTCCCAAACCAGGACAATTGAAGATGATATATTGCTCAAAAAGCCATTTCAGAAAGAAAAACATGGAAAAGTGGCCCATAAACAAGTTGCAGCAGAATTGCTGGATAGGTATGTACCTCTGTAAATTTTTTTTTCGGTTTAAGATGTTTTTATAAACTCAGGGACTTGGGAATTTAATTCTCTTAATTAGAATAAAGACATTTGAATTTGCTTAAAATTTGTCTTTACAGGGAAGAAGCAAGAAATAGAAGGTTTCACCTCATAGCCATGGATGCTGTATCCTTTTTATATTTCTAGATTTTTCTAACTAATAGAATATTTTAAAATTTACTTTTTTATTTCATAAAATCATGTGAAGTCAGGTAGACCCATATTATATTTTTAAAGGTAACTGTTTATTGATGTGCAGTCTTGTCATTTATACTTTTAAATACAATTCTTTTATTAACACATAAGAAAGACTGAGAGACAGAAATAATAAAACATATTACTAATGGTCTATAAGTAGGTTTACAAAGTCCATGAACTTGCAGATGTTTTTCCAACCTGTTTTTGCCAAGCTCTCAACATTTCTCATTTTAATACTGCTCTTATCTTTAGTCTCATTTTAACTCTTACTCTCTTACTACCTGGTTCTGGGCGTTCTTTGTAAAACCTGTATCTAGCAGTAGATGTGTCTTTGGGCTGTCCTCAGGCCTGTTGTGGCTTCATCTCTCAGGCATGGCTTGGGGTTGTCGTCAGGCTATATCATACTTCCCTATTATGGCTACGTCTCATCTCAACTTTTTGGTAAGACTGTGGCTCGTTACACTAACTGCTACTACTGGCCATCCATATTACTGTTGGGAATATTGGAGAATGGAAGAGAAGCCAAGCAAGACCTGAAGTGTTTCTGGGTATTTATTACTATAGTCAGGATTAAGAGAAGGAGACAATGGCAAGTAGATACATCCCCTACCTATTGACATCTGTTTCACTTTGTTATCATTTCCTAATCCTTTTCTTTAAGTTATAGAAATTCTCTTACCACCAATTTATTCCTCTTATCTTCTAACCCAATAGCTGAACTTTCCCATGCATCTCATCTGCCTTGTTCCTTTGGCATTTCAACATCTATTGTGCCTCCTATGACACCACTTATTTGGGGGTGTTGGGGTATCTAGTTACAGCCTGGTGAGGGTGAAAGTGTAGGTTCCCTTTTCTGGCATGGGTGGAGGTGGGGCCACAATTATTTCTAGAATTTTTGGCTGGAGTAGAGTGGGTACTGTCTAAAAGTTACCTGTCTTGTTAGGCTGCCCTCTATCTTGGTTATTCAGTTAGAGCAGGCTTTGTTGGGACTGTTCTTGTTGGCATTTTCAGCTTGCCAGCTTCATTTTCAAGTCTGAGTTTATGAGTCAAGAAGAAAACCTGAGGAGCTTACCACCGTGTCATACCATGGGTCTTGAGCTCCGTAGCTGTTATGCCTTCTTCTCCTCACCTTTCAGAATCTTCTTATATTTGTTTTAGATAGAAGTTCCAAGGTTTTTAGTTGTTCTTAGTGGGAAGAATAGGGAGAGGTACATCTTTGTCTACTCCATCTTCCTGGAAGCAAGGTCCCACTCAGCACCTGCTTTTGTAAACAAAGCTTTATTGGCACATATCCGTGCTTACTCATTGAGGTGTTAACTGTGCCTACTTTCATGCTGAAATGACAGAGCTGAGCTGTTGTGACTGGTACCATATTGTCTGCATATTGACCATTGACAGAAAAAGTTTGTTAACCTAAAAGATTGAAGTGACTTGCCATGGTCATATGACCAGTTAGAGATAGACTAAGAACTAGAAAGAACCCAAATCTCTGGATATCTGGCTTTTCTCTTTTTTCTTTTCTGAAAGGTTAGCTGCTTTGTTGCCAGTCTTAGAAGTATTATATTCTGATTCAGTAATCTGTTAGAACATACTGTGATGAATTAAGTCATTATTTACCTTTGATATAATAGGGTGTAGTCAGACAGTATTATGGATGAGGTCAGTTCTGTTATTCGCATGTTCAGCTCTGGAGAGAATACTGTTGAGCTTTTTAAAACAAAAAGTAAAATGCTCATATATCTTGTTATATTGCATTAAAAATAAACATGACTAAATTCTGAAATATTAAAAGAAAGTATAAAAAAAGAACATCTAATTATATTTACAGGTTTTTTTTTTGATAGCAAGCATTTCTATTTATTTCAGGACATAATGTACTATTTCGAACCATGGAGGATACTAAATTTATAACTATTTAAATATCCATAGGGTATTTTATTTTTGTAAAGATAGGCTCGAAAAATCATAAACTGAATAGATTAATAATATAACACACATCAAAATTATATTTAAAAAGGAGGCGGTGACTCTAGTAGCTCTGTCCTGGTGTTAAAGATGGTATAAAGATACTTTCTTAGAATACCACCAAGTACTCAAACATTTGTAAATGCAGGTGTTATCAAAGTCTATCTCTGATTCTAGCAAAGAGAAACCATCCAAATTTTATTCTTTATATTACGGACATGATTTAACTATATCACTCTGGCATGTGGTATTATTGTTTTTCCTACTGTAGCAAGTCCTAGTTTTCCTAAGACCTTTCCCCTGACTATTCTGGAAATCAAATAAATTTATCATGTATTTCAAACCTTCAAATTAGAATGTTATCCTCATAAATGTATTTGCCAGGTTGGTATATTCACATATATCCTTTCCAATTTTAGGCTAAGCGAAAGACATGCCCTTAGAGCTTTATTAATGTATTAAAGGAAGACAGCCCATCTTATTATCAAGAGAAACTGTGATCCATGGAGCATCTGATAGAGAAAATATTGATTTTGATACATTATCTTCTTTTATTCAAATACCAGTCTGATCACACATGGTCCAAGAACACTTAAATAATAAGCCACATATAAACAGATCTTAAAGATTGGTCTTCAAACATTATAGCCAATGATTCCACGCTTGCCTATGATCTTGCCGACATAAAACCACATCTACACCTTGGTGGCCACCAAACCATTCAGCAGAGCTTCCTTAACTGTGAGCTGTTTGAAGCTACCAGTTTGAGCACTCTTGACTATTTTTTTCAAGCTCTGAATAGCTGTAGGGATCTCAGCAGGGGTTGGAGGAACCAGCTCAACCTTGGCATAGTGCCAAAATGTGGCCAGTCGAGGCTTTGAGTAAGTCACAGCAGTGTTCACCAGCGCTGGGGCCTTCTCTGCAAGGTTACAGACAAATTGGGCCATGGTTCCAAGCTGGAAGGTCATATTTACAGGTTTTTGAAAGCCTAACGTTAGGATTGAATATTATAAAAGTTGTATCTTCTATTTTAGAGGCTTTATCATTACTGGAATAACTAAATTATATGTTATAGTAATAAAAGTTAAATTATACTCCTTATCTTTAGTTTTAGAAACTATAATTTATTTTTCATATTATGAATAAAATGAATATTGGTGTGAGGCTGTGTGTATTTCAGCAATAGAATAGGAAGGTCTCTTTTTCCCCAGGTAGAGCTATATTTTATCACAAGAGTAGTATATGCTTGAAAAATGTTCCAAACAACAGAAACAGTATTCAGTAGAAAGTGAAAGCCTCTCTGCTCTATAGTATTGACTCCTAACAATTAATATTTACCCTTTTAGATGTATTTTTTTAAAAGATTTATTTATTTCCGAGAAAGAGCACGTGAGTGGTGGGGAGGGGCAGAGAGAGAGGGAGACAAGCAGACTCACCACTGGGCATGGAGCCCCACGTGGGGCTCGATCCCAGGACCCTAAGATGGTGACCTGAGCTGAAATCAAGAGTCAGATGGATGTTCTAGTATTAGAAGTCCTAGCCACAGCAATCAGACAACAAAAAGAAATCAAAGGCATCCAAATCGGCAAAGAGGAAATCAAACTCTCACTCTTCGCAGATGATATGATACTTTATGTGGAAAACCCAAAAGACTCCACCCCAAAACTGCTAGAACTCATACAGGAATTCAGTAAAGTAGCAGGATATAAAATCAATGCACAGAAATCAGTGGCGTTCCTATACACCAACAACAAGACAGGAGAGACAAATCAAGGAGTTGATCCCATTTACAATTGCACCCAAAACCATAAGATACCTAGGAATAAATTTAACGAAAGAGGCAAAGGATCTGTACTCAGAAAACTATAAAATACTCATGAAAGAAATTGAAGAAGACACAAAGAAATGGAAAAACGTTCCATGCTCATGGATTGGAAGAACAAACATTGTGAAGATGTCAATGCTACCTAGAGCAATCTACACATTCAATGCAATCCCCATCAAAATACCATCCACTTTTTTCAAAGAAATGGAACAAATAATCCTAAAATTTGTATGGAACCAGAAAAGACCCCGAATAGCCAGAGGAATATTGAAAAAGAAAAGCAAAGCTGGCGGCATCACAATTCCGGACTTCCAGCTCTATTACAAAGCTGTCCTCATCAAGACAGTATGGTACTGGCACAAAAACAGACACATAGATCAATGGAACAGAATCGAGAGCCCAGAAATGAACCCTCAACTCTATGGTCAACTCATCTTTGACAAAGCAGGAAAGAATGTCCAATGGAAAAAAGACAGTCTCTTCAACAAATGGTGTTGGGAAAATTGGACAGCCACATGCAGAAGAATGAAACTGGACCATTTCCTTACACCACACACAAAAATAGACTCCAAATGGTTGAAAGACCTAAATGTAAGACAGGAATCCATCAAAATCCTAAAGGAGAACACAGGTAGCAACCTCTTCAACCTCAGCCGCAGCAACTTCTTCCTAGAAACATCGCCAAAGGCAAGGGAAGCAAGGGCAAAAATGAACTATTGGGATTTCATGAAGATAAAAAGCTTTTGCACAGCAAAAGAAACAGTAAACAAAACCAAAAGACAACCGACAGAATGGGAGAAAATATTTGCAAATGACATATCAGATAAAGGGCTAGTATCCAAAATCTATAAAGAACTTATCAAACTCAACACCCAAAGAACAAATAATCCAATCAAGAAATGGGCAGAACACATGAACAGACATTTTTCCAAAGAAGACATCCAAATGGCCAGCAGACACATGAAAAAGTGCTCAACATCGCTCGGCATCAGGGAAATCCAAATCAAAACCTCAATGAGATACCACCTCACACCAGTCAGAATGACTAAAATTAACAAGTCAGGAAGCGACAGATGTTGGCGGGGATGCAGAGAAAGGGGAACCCTCCTACACTGTTGGGGGGAATGCAAGCTGGTGCAACCACTCTGGAAAACAGTATGGAGGTTCCTCAAACAGTTGTAAATAGAGCTACCATACAATCCAGCAATTGTACTACTGGTTATTTACCCCAAAGACACAAATGTAGGGATCCGAAGGGGTAGGTGCACCCCAATGTTCATAGCAGCGATGTCCACAATAGCCAAACTGTGGAAAGAGCCAAGATGTCTATCGACAGATGAATGGATAAAGAAGATGTGGTATATATACACCATGGAATATTATGCAGCCATCAAAAGGAATGAGATCTTGCCATTTTTAACGACATGGTTGGAACTGGAGGGTGTTATGCTGAGTGAAATAAGTCAATCAGAGAAAGACATGTATCATGACCTCACTGATATGAGGAATTCTTAATCTCAGGAAACAAACTGAGGGTTGCTGGAGTGGTGGGGTGTGGGAGGGATGGGGTGGCTGGGTGATAGACATTGGGGAGGGTATGTGCTATGGTGAGCGCTGTGAATTGTGCAAGACTGTTGAATCACAGATCTGTACTTCTGAAACAAATAATGCAATATATATTAAGGGAAAAAAGAAGAAGATAGCAGGAGAGGAAGAATGAAGGGGAGTAAGTCAGAGGGGGAGACGAACCATGAGAGACGATGGACTCTGAAAAACAAACTGAGGGTTCTAGAGGGGAGGGGGGGTGGGGGGATGTGTTAGCCTGGTGAATAGTATTAAAGAGGGCACATTCTGCGTGGGGCACTGGGTGTTATGCACAAACAATGAATCATGGAACACTACATCAAAAACTAATGACGTAATGTATGGTGATTAACATAACAATAAAAAATTATAAAAAAAAGTCAGATGGATGTTCAACCAATTGAGCGACCGAAGCGCCCCCTTTTAGATATTTTTTTAACTTTGTAAGCATGTATAGTAGGTTTTGCATATTTAAAAAACTAAGTAGACTTATACTGTTTTTCTTTACTTACTCATATCATAGACACAGAACAACTCCTGAGCAAATCAAATCCTTAATTTTTTGCATTTCAGTATCAAAGGCACACAAAATTTGTAAATGACTATATTTTATACTATGGTGGCAAAAAAGAAGACTTTAGGCGATTGGGGTAAGTGTCATGAAATTTACATAGAATGGGAGGAAATTATGGATGTGTTTAAAGACCCACAGCTACTGTGTCTTCTGATTCTGTCATTCTCTCCTGCTTTCCATTCCAATTTCCTTATAATATCCTGGAGTGAAGAGGCTGTCTATAACTTCTTGCTAAGTACTTCATCATGAACCCCATTTCTCTGGCAACAGGCCTCAGGTAGCCTGCTGAGCCAGATCTGTGTTTGGTGAGGTTATGTGAGGAATATTCATGTGCCTGATTATGCAGTAAATTTTTTTTTTTTTAAATTTTTGGGCAAGGATCTTTGAAATAATTAACTTTTTAGACCTTAGTGTTTGGGATTGCTTTTTAAAAGGTAGGGCAAACAGGAAAAAAGCCAACTCCTTCCTAATATTTGAGGCTCTTCTATCAGAGCCTCTTGGTTATGTGTGGGTTTTTTTCTCTGACTTAATAATTTTCTGAGTTTGGTAGAGCCTTAAAAAACTTTATATGATCTCATCTACCCCAAATTTATCTCCCTTCTCAATTTAGCCTGTATTCTCCAACAATTCCTTGTTCTACCCCCAAACTGTTAGCATCTTAAAATATCATCCCTTCCCCCCATTCTCTTCTGCCCTTACTTAGTCTTTCTAGGAAGCCATAGTAAAATGAGGTATGGAAAACTCTTCATACAGGTTTTTTTTTTTAAAGATTTTATTTTCTTATTTGACAGAGAGACACCATGAGAGAGGGAACACAAACAGGGGAGTGGGAGAGGGAGAAGCAGGCTTCCTGCCGAGCTGGGAACCCCATATGGGGCTGAGTCCCAGGACCCTGGGATCATGACCTGAGCCAAAGGCAGATGCTTAATGACTGAGCCACCCAGGCGCCCCTTCATACAGTTTTTTAAATGTGATCTCAGTGGGATGGGGTTACTGTCACTTTTTAGATTCTAAAACTTACTTTCATTATTTTTCCTTATCCACTTAGTGTTTATTCAGGTTTCTCCTCCTGGCTTTGGTGATTTAGCACCATCTGTATAATTGAAGCCAATATGAAAGGTGGATGGATGCCTTATCCACTTAACTTGCTTCTGTAGCAGCACTCTTTATAAGTGTTTTGAAAATATGGAAAATTTTTTTTTTAAAGATTTATTTATTTGAGGGATAGAAAGAGAGCGAGAGAGAGCAGGAGTGGAGAGGAGAGGGAGAAGCAGGCTGGATCCCAGGACCCTGGGATCATGACCTGAGCAGAAGGCAAATGCTTAACCAACTGAGCCACCCAGGTGCCCCAATATGGAAATTGTTTTTATAAGTATATGTACATATGTATATATTCACACATAAAACTATCTTAATCTTGATGTATTTTTTCTCGTGTTAAAAAATTCTCACAGAACTAACCTCCTAAATTTGACTAATTTTGTGTTTATATGTAATTGAAATAGTTTTATTTTCCAGGGAAAATGACAAGACAGACATGGATGTTATACGAGAAAATCATAGATTCCTATGGAATGAGGAGGATGAAATGGACATGAATTGGTAATTTTTGCCATCTGAGATGTAATGCATAAATTGCTTTAGTCCTGTCTCTCCTGCTCTCTCCGTGTTTTCTTACCCTGTCAGCTGTCCAGGGCATTCAGCCCCGGCATGGAGGAGCTCTGAATGGAGGACATAAAAACATGCCTCAGAGTATTTGTGTCTGGTTTGGTTCTTTTGGTAATTTTTAGCAATTTTAACTGACTTCTCATTGCTTGACTTTGTCTTGGAAAGAAAATGTATTACATTTTTACTGTATTGTTTGTTGTCCTGTAATAGGCTTTTTAAAAAACTTTTAAAATATTTTGGGGAAAAGTAATACCTGAAAGTGGTTTTAAGAATGCAAACATTGCAAAAGGTGAAAAGCGAGGAGTAAGACTCCTCTGTCAGTCTTCCAGTTTCCCTCCCTGAGAGAGCCACTATTAGTAGTTAATATTCAGGTATTCTATGCACATTTAAGTAATAGACCTCTTTTAAAACATTAATATTTATATCATATATGTTATTTATTTGACATTGCTTCCAAGTAGCAAACTGTGGTTGAATTTCTAAATGTAAAAAATTTATGTTTTTTTATGGATCTAGGGAGAAGAAACTTGCAAAGAAATACTATGATAAATTATTCAAGGAATACTGCATAGCAGATCTCAGTAGATACAAAGAAAATAAGGTATGCCTTTCAAATATTTATAGAAGGTTCTTATTTAAGTACAGTATTACTTTTTGTTATACTGTGACACCCCACATTATTCTTTTAAAGGTACTAAATGAGCTAGGTTATCCTGCATCTATGAAATATCATTTGGACGATTTAACCTCTGCAGCTATGAAATTTACAAAGGGCCCCTTAGTCAGGGGTGCTTTGTGAACTGAGGCATGAATAGTCTAAAATTAAACACAAGTGGCTACTGGATCCTGTTTCCTCCTGACTCTGGCCTAGAGCCTCTACTGATTATAATGAATGATTTGACACTGCAGAATGATGTCTTGTTTCATAGATGATGTTTGAAAATGTTAGACTTTTTTTTCAAATAAATTACCATCTGTAAAGAGGCAGATGCACATCTTCTTTTATACCAATGTCTATTCTAGTAGAATTAACTCTTATTAGTGCTATTTAGTAATGGCAGATTTCCGTTCCTGCTTTACATCTTACTTTAGTTGATACTAAAGTGATTTTTATTTCTATCTCAAATTTCACATTTGCAGCTAGAGAAGGTGACCTGGAACAGATGATCTCAGTTTGAAATGGGAGAGGGAATGTTGCATAAATCTGTATGTTTTGGATAGTGTATATTTGTATTAAGACAGACAATCTATTTAAAAAGTTGTCTTAGATTTATTTATTATAAGAATTTCTTTTTCATTTAATTAGTTAAATCTCAGAACCATGATTGGTTTAATATTTTTTTCCATAGTGCCTTTAATATGTGGGTTGCTTCACAATATTCTTATAGATAGGAGTGTCCAGTTTTACAATCCTATTTACAAACCCATGCACATCATGTATCCCAAAGACTTCCTCGGTTTCTTAGGAGCTAGCTCTCCTCTCTGTACTAGTTATTGATCACATCAAATCCAAAAGGCACCATGAGGAGTTACTTGAAGTTACTACACTGCAAGTTGAGTATGAAATACAATCTTTCTAGGAGCACATAATAAAGCAGCTTTTTCATTGCTGGCTCATTTGTTGGTTGCTTTTCAGTATTAAGGACTGGGCAGGGTGCTGTGAATTAAAACATGACTGCCGTTCAAAAAAAACCCAAAACTATAATCTAGTTGAGGGGAGAAAGTGTACATAAAACAATTAAATATTTGTATTCTCCATTCAAAAAACATAATATATTACTGGAAAACATACTTTAAAGAGGATACTCTTGAAACAAATTATATTTTCTTATTAGACATGATGAATAATTACATATGAGGGTAAATCCAAGTAAGAAATCAGAAATAGGAAATGTGGAATGAGGCAGATGCTTTTTTTTTTTTTAACTGTTTTTTAGGGGTAGTTTTAAGTTCACAGCAAAATTGAGGGGAGGGTACAGAGATTTCCCATATACCCTTTACCCCATACGTATGAAGGGTATCGTTTCTAAAGGAAAAGATGACTGTTTTTTGGCATACCATGTTTGAGTTAAGAATGGTGCCTTTGATTTCCTTGCTAGGATGCATTTTCTCATAGTTTTATTTATACAAAGAGTGTTTTATTCACTTTTTACTAATCAGCTCCTTGCTCACTGCTTATTACTTGGGGCATTTTTAGTGAATTCCAGCCTTTGTCCCACACACCTATCCCCTTCCTTATTACTTCTTCCCTTTCATCATTGAGAATTTGGTTGAATTGTTAGATCAGTTAGGATTAGAATCAGCTGCAAGGACTGACGCACTCCTAAATAATACTGACTTAAATGAGCTAGAAGTTTATTTTTCTTCTACATAGAAGTCCAAGTAGATGGTGATGGAATTTTGTGTTTTCAGGAAGTTAGGATCTGTTTGTCTTATTGCTTGAATGTGTGATCTCTGTGCTAGAAGGTAAAGTAAGAGAAGGAGGCTTAGCACCAAATCCTGAGTAACTCCAGTATTTAATCCAGCCTATCAGCAGGAAAATGTATGTCAGGAAAGAATATAAAAACTCACTGAGGCAAAACCTCTATACAACCTTTAACTAGTAGGACATACCGTATTTGTTTGTTATATTTCTTATCCCCTATAAGATTATAACCTTCTTAACAATAGACACTATTTTCACAATCATCTTATATCTTTAGCAGAGTGCCAAGCCCCGTAAGTAGTTGCTTAATACTTATTTGTTGAATAGATTAATGAATGGAAGAAAAAGTTGGGAAACTATTGCTGTACACATTTGTCTGTGCTTCAGTGGACATCCCAACATATATGTTGGATGGCAAGCAATCCTTACATACAAGTATAGGCTTAAAAATAGAACTAAACAGAGTTATTATTTTTTTAAGTATTTTATTATTATAAACAGAGTTATTTTGGATGTTTTATTTTTTTTCCTAGCCTGGAGGGGGGTTTATTTTTATTGGATTTTAATCAGAATATTTTCAAATATTTGAGCCCCCAGTTGCATTTAAACTACAAAATTGCCTAATTCATATAGTAGGCGATAAAATAAAAATAGACCGTTAACTAGGCATTGAACATTTCATCTGAATTATCTCTCTTAATACAATAACCTTTAAGATTGGGGTTTTTATACATAAAAAGGAAGTAGACTGAGAAGTTAAGAGACTTTCCAAGGCCACAGAGGTAGTTAATGAATGGTAGAGCTTACATTGGTTCTGCATGATTCTAGAGCTGAGCTTTTAAGTATTATAATAAACTGAATAGAAAACGAAATCATTTACTAAACCTACAGAAAATTAGCATATGGGTATGAAAGATCTTAAAAAGGCAGTGGAGAAAAATTATTTTTAGCCAAAAAACAAAGTTACGTTTAGGAATCTAGAGGGAAGTTTAACAACTTTCCACATTAGGACTCCAGAGGGTCCCCTTTCTCTTTCATGTTCATCACTTTGCCAGTGGGGAAAGAGCCATACATGAATGAATGATTGTGGTTGTGTTCCAATAAAACTTTATAAAATAGGCAGCAGGCCATAGTTTGCTAACCCCTGGGATACTATGTACCAGGTACTATTCTAAGTACTATTCTATTCTCAGGTACTATTCTATTATGTGTATTATCCCATTTGAACCTCTTAGTCCAAAGAAGTAGGTATTATATTATCTTTACATTACATATGAGGAAACTGAGGCATAAGAACATTAAATACCTTGTCCAGTATTATAAAGCTGTTAAGTGGTGGAGCTAAGATGTAAACCCAGACAATCCAGCTCTTTTGCACTATAGTATATTGCCTCTTTACTGGACCATAACCTCTTTTTTTTTCTGTCAGTGTCATAAAACAAGATACATATTTTTTATTAATTTAGGTATTGTGCCCTAGTACTTGTATCTTTTATTAGGTAGTTTAAAAGTAAAGAAGAGGAGCGCCTGGGTGGCTCGGTCGGTTAAGCGTCTGCCTTTGGCACACGTCATGATCCCAGGGTTCTGGGATCGAGCCCAGCATTGGGCTTCCTGCTCAGCAGGGAGCCTGCTTCTTCCTCTCCTCCTGGCTTGTTCTCTCTGTCGCTCTCTCTGTCTCAGTCTCTCAAATAAATAAATAAAAATCTTCAATAAAAAAATAAATAAAAGTAAAGAAGATTATTCCTTAACAGAAAAGTTGGTAATTGTTCAAATGTATTTTTAAATACCTGGAATCCTATAAGGAGAAAAAAGCTATCACAATGAAAATTAGGTTTGCTTCTTCTTTTTTTTTTAACTTTTTATTTTAGTCACCCGGTGCTCATTACAAGTACACTCCTAATCAGCATCACCTATTTAACCATACCCCACCTCCACCTCCCTGCTGGTAACCATCAGTTCTCTATACATAAGAGTCTGTTTTTTAGTTTGTCTTTCTCTTTTTTTCCCTTTGCTCATTTGTTTCTTAAATTCCACATGTGAGTGAAATCATACAGTATTTGTCTTTCTTTGACTGACTTATTTCACTTAGCATTATACTCTAGCTCCATCCATGTTGTTGCAAATGGCAAGACTTCATTTTTTATGGCTAAATAATACTCCAGTGTGTGTGTGTGTGTGTGTGTGTGTGTGTGTGTGTGTGTGTGTGTGT